AGGAGCAGGCTCGACGTTTAATGGTGCTGACTTCCTTTGTATTGTCGGGGAGTTGACTAGTGCTAAGGTAGGCGTGGACCAGGGGTCATCCAACAGTCGTGGTCCCCGATGGCATTGACTTCGAGCATTGTCTTTGCCAGTTTTGTGCTGGGACGAGCGAGGACTTCTTGGACGACGAATTTGTTCCCTCCCTTCTTTTTCGTACTTTCGAGCTTCGAGAGGATGTCAGCCCGAGTATTATACTCGCGTGGAATGTGTTGTACTTCTGCAGATTCGAAGCTCTTCATCCACTCCCTGATGAGGGTCAAATACTCGACCAGGCTTTCGTTCTTTGCTTGCTATTCTCCCCAGACCTGAGAGGCGACCAGCTAGGAATCCGTGAAGATCTTGATCTCCTTGGCCCCGAGGTCTTCTGCCAGGCAGAGTCCGGCCAAGAAAGCTTCGTACTCAGCCTGATTGTTTGTTGTTGGGAAGGCCAAGGTTAGGGAGACTTCTACTACCGTGCCCTCCTCATTTTCGAGGATGATGCCTGTGCCGCTTCCTGAGGGGCTCGGAGCGCCATCGACGAAGATGGTCCACTTCTGGGCCTCGGGGGTTGGTTTTGCGGTGGGGGTCATCTCAGCAACAAAATCGGCTAGCACTTGTACTTTGAGGGCTTTCCTGCCTTCGGAGAGTTCCAGTGACCATTTTAACATGCGCCTCGCCATGTCGGGCCTATCGAGCAGCTGTCTGATTGGATGTTCGGTTCTGACTACAATGGTATGGGCCAGGAAGTAATGTCGGAGTCTCCTATCTGCGTTGATGAAGGCCAAGGTGGCTTTTTTGATCTTTTGATAACTCACTTTGAGGCCGTGGAGGGCCTTGCTTATGAAGTAGATCAGCTTTTACCCATTGGAATTTTCCCGGATCAGTACGACGCTCACGGCCTCGGTCGAGACAGCCAGGTACAGGTAGAGGGTTTCCCCGATGTCAGGTCTCATCAAGACAGGTGGTTCTGACAGGACACGTTTAAGATGGAGGAGGGCTTGCTTGCATTCCTCTGTCCATTCAAACGCGGCTTCCTTTCTTAACAGTTTGAAGAATGGAAGGGCGTGCTGTGCGGATTTGGCGACGAAACAGGATAACGACGCGAGCATCCCATTGAGGGATTGTGTCGACTTCTTCATGCTCGACGTCATGATCTCGGAGAAGGCCCGACACGTGTCCAGGTTTGCCTTGATCCCCAGTTCGGTTAGGTAAAATTCGAGGAACTTCCTCGCGCGTACCCTAAAGGTGCACTTCTTCGAGTTGAACCACATCCTGCACTTCCTTGTTATCTCAAAGACTTTCCTGAGGTGTTCCATGTGGTCTACCTTCGTGCGGGATTTGACGATTATGTCGTCCATGTAGACCTCGAGCATGAGCCTTATCTCTCTCCGGAAGACTTTTTTCATCATCCGTTGGTAGGTGGCGTCGGCGTTCTTTAGGCCGAAGGGCATTACGTTGTAGTAGTAGTTGCCCGACTGAGTCATGAATTTCGTTGTCTAATTGTCGGCCTCGACCATGGGGATCTATTTTTACCCCGAGTAGGTGTCCATGAAGGACAGTAATTTGAAACCCGCTGAGTTGTCAACGAGCTTGTCGATGTTAGGGAGGGGATATGCGTCCTTTGGACATGTCCAGTTGAGATCGATGTAATCAACGCACATCCTCCATTTTCCATTAGATTTCTTTACAAGTACAACATTGGACAACCTGGTTGAATACCGGGCTTCCGAAATAAAATTTTCCTCTAGGTGGTCTTTTACAGCTTTTTCAGTTGCCGCCGATTTTTCGGGGGACTGCCTGCGTGTACGTTATACTACGGCCTTTGCATCCGGGTTGATGGAGAGTTGGTGGCAGACGACCTCGGGATCGAGGTTGGGCATCTCGGCGGCGCTCCAGGCAAAGAGGTTGGCATTCTCACAGAGGCAGACCTTTAGTTGCTTCCTCTCTAGGTCGGGAAGTCCCGCTCCAATCTTCATGGCCCTCGTCGTGTCTGCGCCGAGGGATACTATCTCAAAGTCCCTGTTTAGAATGGGGCGTGTTGGATGGATAGGCTTCTCGTTGGCCATTGGAGGAATGTCTTCGGTTTCGTCCTCATGATCTGGCTCGCCGTGGAAGCGGCAGTCGAGGTCTACAGCATCGACGTGGTCCTTTGGTCTGTTCTCCTAGACGGATGGAGGCTTGGTTGCTTTGGTCAGGGGACCGATCGTGACGAGGCCCTTCATTGTTGCCTCAAACCATCGACGGGCTGCTTCTATGTCCCCGTTGAGAGTGACGACAACTCCCAGCTTGGTATAGTACTTCATCTTCAGGTGGACGATTGATGGTACCGCGGTGAGCTTGACCAGTGTTGTCTTGCCTAGGATGCAGTTGTACAAGGACGGGCACTCGACGACCAGGAAGCGGACGTTGATTTCCATGGTTGTTTCCTGTATCCCAAAGGTGACCTTAAGCTCCACGTATCCCCATGGTCTTGTCGTCATCCCGTTGAACCCCTGGAGGTCGGAGCCAAGGTAGGGAGTTAGGTTGGTCTCGTCGAGCTGTAACATCAAGAAGAGGTGGGTATACATGATATCCACCGAGCTTCCTCCGTCGACGAGGATGCGGCGGACATCGAAATTAGCCATTTGTGCCCGTATCAGTAGAGGGATGGCCGAGTTAGGGGCTCTCTCGGGGAGCTCTTCGAGATAGTATGTGATCGGGTTGGATCGGTCGTGGAATTTGTCGAGCGTGCTCATTTTTCCAGAGCTGTTGTTTATCAGCTCATCAAACTTCCTCTTTACCGGCCCGATTGAGAGCTTGTTTAGGGTCCCGCCCGAAATGACTATCGCCTTGGGAAAGTATTCCCACGGGCTAATGGGGCGTACTGGTTCCTCGGGTAGATCATGCCCGGTAGGGAGGCTGTGTTCTCTCAGTGAGAACTAGTCTTCGGGTCGATTAACACAGAGGGCTACCTGTAGCCCAGACTCGTTGGCAGGGGGAGGGACGTCCTCGATTCTCTTGGCTTCTAGGGCCTCATGTCGGGGGGAATCTCCTCCCCTGGTGTATCTCTTTAATTTTCCATCCTTGATGAGTATCTCAATCGCGTCCTTCAGGTGGATGCATTCATCTATAACATCCCCGTGGCCCCGGTGGAAGCGGCAGTATTTGGACTTGTCCACGTTGGCCTTGGGGGTGCCGAATTGGGAAAGCAGACACCTCCCCGGACGAACTCCGAGTTGGCGCACTCATCCAGTATGCGCTCGTGGGAAGCGACTAGGGCGGTGTATTCGGTGAAACGGCCCGCGGGGCCCCTTTGCTCCTGGGGCTCTCGGGGACGACCGTCTCGTCGTCGGTCTCCCCCACACCGGGGACTGGTGCTCCTTCTTCTTGGGACCCGTGGGGGGGGGGTAGCGGTTTTGGGATTCTCGAGCAGTATTGGCGGCCTCGGTTTCCTCGTACCGGATGTAGTGGCGGGCCTTCTCGAGGAATCCTTGCAAGGTGGTTGGCCGATGGATTGCCACGGCCTCGTAGAACTTGGAGCCGCGGTGTAGGCCTTTCTCCATAAGGTAGCGCTTCATATCGTCTGAAGTCGTTACCTAGAATGCTTCCCTCGTGAACCTCTTAATGTAGTTTCTGAGAGGTTCATTTGAGGCCTGGATGATTGCGCCCAGAGCGGCCTCCGTCTTCGAATGTCGTTGCAATGTTGTGAAATATTGCGAGAAAATATCCTTCAGGACCCTCCATGATGTGACGGACTCGGGTTCCAGGCTTTTGTACCAAGTCATGACCGCCTTCCTCAGCGTCGTCAGAAAGATCCTACACTTGATGGCTCCCCGGACATTCCTGGAGTCTAGCATGGCCTCGATGTCCTCTAGGTGATCGTCTGGATCCTAGGTGCCATCGTACGTGGCGAGTACGGGTGGCTTCTCCATCCCGTGGAAGATGGGGGTTGCCATGATCTCCCGCGACAAGGGGGTCCTATAGTCGTCTTCGTCACTGCGAATAGGGGAGTGTGAAAGTGACGGGTTGTGTTGAAGGGGTTGATTACGTCCCCTCAGTCTTCTGTCTGGGGCTTCAGGTCTGTTCGCTCTCGGCTCCAGGGAACGCCTCTCCTTTCGGGGAGGTAACCTGGCGCGTTTCTTAGAGGCCACAAGCTAGGGCCTCTCCAGTTGTGGTCTTCGCCCCCGTGGACGGGGAGAGGGGCTCTGGGAGTCTTCGTGTTGATTTCTCTGCAGGGGAGATCGATATGAGGTATCCTGCTCCAGTGCACCGATGCACTTATTCTGTTGGAACATCAGCATGTTTGCTTGGTTGATGGCTGCGAAGAGGGCAGTCATCATTGGGTCTGCTCCAGCTGGCGTAGGAACAGGCTGGAAGACAGTCAGGCTCCTTGCTCGAGGTCCGACGTGATGTGTCGCGTCCTCAGACTAGGGAGAGGCGGTCTGGCCGTTCCTGTTGTCGCCCTCACGGGCGTGGGATGTCCCCACCTGGTCGTCGCCATTGGTGATTAGGACGAGGGAGGAGTTGTGGACAGCGTCATCGTGACGTGGGCTAGTCATGATCTTGGAATTTGAAGTGAGAAGCTTTGGTTCTTCTGCTCGGAGGAATGGGGAAGCTTAGTTTCCCACAAACTGCGTCACTGATCTTACCTGATCAGAAGGGAATCAGTGACCTGCCACGCGTCGTCGATCTGAGAGTTGTTCGTCAGAGGTAGGGAGGAGGAGGTGTGTACCTGCAAGACACTCTGATGGCAAAGTAAATAATTGACCAGAGTGAGAGAAAATAAAGAAAAGAAACTTCAAATCGGCAACAAAATATACTGAAACATAATAGAAACTTCAAAAACACTAATAAATTGAAAATATAAAATGAAATTTAAAACAAAAATTGTCCTCAACACCTATCAAATTACAAAGAATATTGTTCTATCTCTATATAATAACATGAAGATAGATGTTTTAGAAATAATGAAGAACCCTAAAACTTGAAGAATATCAGTTGTCATCACGCCTATGAAGAACTGAAAAATCAAATCTCTTGTTGTCTTGATCCCATTTAAAACGAATTTCATCTCCAGCTTTTAAGTTTCTTTTATCTACAAATTCCTTCATCCATGTATTGTTGAAAATATGACTGTTATTCGAAGGTTGTGTCTTAAAAACAAGAGAACGAAGGCTTTGAGTATCAACATCAAAAACCGGAACTTTGACTCCATCTTTCTCAACTTTGCCTTTATTCAAAAAAGGAACAACCCATTTCCTAGCCAATTCTTTCTTCAACAAAAGTCTGCTATTATTTTCCAGATCACTTGTTGTGAGTACCTTCTTGATTTTCCGTAGATCATCACTCATTGAAGAGTCAGAACTTGTTCCAACAGTATCGGTGACAGCAGCATCAACATTAGTTTCTTGGTGAACAAATTTCTGTTTCTTAGCCATTTGAATGCAATTACAAAAATATAGAGACAGATGGAGACAAACATTAGTTTCATTAGGATATGAAGACAAATCCAATAATGGTGGACTATTGTTGGTTTCTTGTTGCTGGACATTTCCGTTTGTATCCAGAAGAATGAGAAGCAAGATCACCAACATTAAGAATGGGAAAAGAGTGATAAGATGATGAATTTGAAGCATGAACATTGAAGAGAGACATTGTGTGGTTGAAGTGGAAAAAAAACTTAATTGACTCAACAGTTTAAAGTGGGTCGTTGATATTCAAGCTACACACCGAAATTGTTTTATGAATTAAATTTTTTATATCATAAATATTAATGATTATGCATCGGTGAGTTTGTTTTCATTAACTTGTTTTCCTTATTTTATGGATATATCAAATCTTACTTAAATACTAATAGATTTGCTTCCATATCATTTAGTTAGAATTTTAAGTTTTTTAGAAAGATTTGTTTTTTCATTATTTTATTATTTATTTTATTTTGTGAATGTATCTTTTTGTTATAAAACTTTGCAACTAAATCTATCAAGTGAGTCTAATGTCGTTCTATTTTTCTGCTTCATAATTTCATTGACGTATAAATATGTAATATAACCTAGTTAAAATCTAAATCCACTTTAACATAAGTCAGATTGAATAGAATAGAATAGAATAGATAAATTTGATGAAATAAGAGAAATTGTTTGACTGAAAAAACATACATGTTATGATAATTTTTAGAATCTAAAATATTTTATGTTAACTTTTTTAAATTATGGTTATCATGATGTTAAAGATCATAATTTATAAATGTTATAAATATTTTAAATATTTTTTTATTAATTTAACAACTAAATTAATGATTTAATTTTTTAAAAATATTTTAAAGATATTATTTTAGAATTTACCTCTAATTTCTTTGAATTATTGTATTTTATGTTAACTTTATCTTGGATTACTTAAAAATATACATGTAGATTAAATGAGCTATATGTAGTCAATATGATATATCTATACAGGTGACAATAGGTTGGGTCAAGGTAGATTTTGCTTAGCTTAAGTATGATTTGTTGATCTTATCTGATCAGAAGGGAATCAATGACCTACCACGCGTCGTCGATCTGAGAGCTGTTCGTCAGAGATAGGGAGGAGGAGGGGGTTGTACCTGCAAGACACTCTGATGCCAAAGTAAGTAATACCAGAGTGAGAGCAAATACAGAAAAGAGGTTGAGAAGTGAATACCTAACCCTCTAGCGAAAGAGGGTATTTATAGAGAGACCCCAGCGTAGGGCCAACTGTCACTTGTGTTGGGCTGGATTGTCAGGCCCAACCCAGGTGACTGTTAGGGCTTACGTGGCGTAGTGAAGACCAGCACGTGGTCTTCGCCCTAGTTCAACCGTTCCGTAATCTCCGGAAAGTGAGCTGACCAGCTCTTTCGGAGGTGGATAGTTGCCTAATGACGTGTCCCCGCGGGAGGGGCACGTGGAAGACGTGTTGCTCTGCCTGACGGAGGGAGGGTGCCTGTCCGGCGTGTCTAGGGTCATGCCTGACGTTGGGGGGTTTTGCGCCTTATTGGGCCTTCCCCAAATAGTATTGGGTTGGGCCTGCCCGGCGGGTGGGCAGGTCTGGGCCCAGTCCAGAACACTTGTTAAAAATTATAAAATTTAATTCTAATTTTTAGGTTGTCATGAATTTATTTTTAAGTTTGAACCTAGCCTTTTTTAATGTTTGATTTATCAGTTAACCTATTTAAAAATTTATTTTATTTGAACATATATAAATAAGAAATTTAATTAATATTTATATAGACTAAAAAAAGTAAAAGATAAATAATATTAAAAGTTTATTTGCATTAACTTATTTGAACTTATTTATTTAAGAAAACTTATTTATTTAGGAAAACTTATGAAATAAATATATGGCATTGTTCTTAAGGAGTTTCAAGCCATTTTCATTTGTTCATCAATATAATTTTTTTTTAATTTTAGTTCAAAATATAAAATATTATTAATATAATAAAATTATTCATATTTATTTAAATAGATTAGATATAAAAATATTTTTAATGAAAAATGTTAACATGTGCCTCAAAGACAAAGGTTAATAACCTATTTATAGAAATATTCTCTTGGAATGAGTGTATTCAATTTCTTAAAATTTTAAATATTATTTTATTCAATACAATGAGCCTTTTTTTTAATAACTTAACACCTAGCATTTTTAACTAAGTAGTTTATAAAGAAGTTTTAACCTTTTTTATTCTAATAAAAGTTTAGTCTAACCTGAACCTATATAGGTTAAATCATATGTTCATACTAGTAGATTGATATATTCTAATCTATATATACTCTCTAATGAGTGACAAGGTTTTTTTTTTTTGCCAAGCTAAAAATTCGTGAAAATTTTTAGGTTTATATTATAAGGTTGAAGTCCTAGATTTTATCACAGATGACAGATTAGACTATATCTTCTAAAATATTTTGACGAGTCTAATATCATGCATGTTAAATATAATTCATTGTGATTTGATATGATTAGATTTGATATGATATGATTAGATTTGATATGATATGATTAGATATCATACGATTAGATTTGATATCATATGATTAGATTTGATATCATATGATTAGATTTGATTTAGAATATTTTGGGCCTTTTATGTTTTGGGCTAGTGTAAACCTAAAACTATAAATAGGGTGCCTTGCTTTGTATTCTACATCACAACAGAACAGATTTCACAGTTGCAGTTAGCAAGTGAAAGTTCAATAAGAAATCCCACAGTTGTGGGTAACACATTCTCTCCAAATACTTTTCTCTCATTCTTCTCTTTCTTGTTTGTTATTCTTCTTCTCTTTTGTTGTTCTTAATAATTACTTGTTATTACCATCATTATCATATTGTGGGTTTGTTTATCAATCTTGAGATCAAGATTGAAGGGAATTCTTCATAGGGTGTGAGGTGAATTTCCAACATCTGGTATCAGAGCTCCGGTTGAGAGATTCAAGGAAGGAAGATAGTGATGGCGATGAATTATCCGAACGGCAACTTTCTGGCGACCCTGCCAATTCTCAAGAAAGACAATTATGAGAATTGGTGCAAGCAGATTAAGGTGATCTTCTGTTATCAAGATCTTTGGGATCTTGTGAAAGATGGAGTAACATCGCCTGGGGAGAACGCAACGGAGGCGGAAAAGGCAGCGCACAAAGAATTGAAGAAGAAGGATTATAAAGCACTCTTTATAATTCATCAATGTGTTGATCCTGATAACTTTGAAAAGGTTAGTGATGTTGATTCAGCAAAAGAAGCATGGGAGATTCTTGAAAAGTCGTTTGGAGGCGTAAGGTGAAAGAGGTGAGGTTACAAACTCACAAGAGAACCTATGAGTTGCTTCAGATGGAAGACAATGAAAGCATTACAGATTTCTTCACCAGAGTTACAAAGTTGGTGAATCAAATCAAAGTATGTGGAGAAGCGCTAACGACGAAAGCAGTTGTCTCAAAAATCTTGAGATCGTTGGCTCCAAAATTCGACCACGTGGTAGTTGCCATAGAAGAGTCTAAAGATCTGTCAGTGTTGACGAAGGAAGAGCTTCAAGGGACTCTTGAGTCTCATGAATAGAGGATGGCTGAGAGAGCTGCAGGAAAGTCGAAAGATATGGCTTTACAGGCGCAGTCAGAAAAGGAAAGAAAAGGCAAAGGTAGATGGAATGGCAACAAAGGAGGAAACCAATCGAATCAGAAGAAACCTTGGAACCAAGGCAACCAAAGAGGTGGTGCTGCAGGTAAAGGAAGAGGTGGTGGTCGAAAGCCAGACAAAAACCACATTCAGTGTTTCAATTGCCAGAAGTATGGTCATTATGCTAGTGATTGTCCAGAAAGGAAGAAAAATCAAGAGACTGATGCAAAGCTGGCGAAACATGAAGAAGAAGAAACATTGCTAATGGTCACAACAAAAGATGAAGAAAGATTCCAAGATCAGTGGTACTTTGACTCAGGATGCTCATCACACATGACTGGAAGGAAAGATTGGTTTGTGAACATGAAGCCCTCGTCGAAGAACACAGTGAAGTTTGCAAATGACAACACTCTAGCAGCTGAAGGTGTTGGTGATGTTCTGATCATGAGGAAAGATGGCAAAAGGTCAACAATTTCCAATGTGTTGTATATACCAGGCATGAAGAGTAATTTGCTCAGTATAGGGCAGCTTGTTGAAAAGAACTACAAGGTAGTTGTCGAAGACAAGATGATGAGAGTTCTCGACGCAAGTGGTAGATTAATATTGAAGGCTCCAATGTCTCAGAATAGGACCTTTAAGATTGGACTCAATGTGATGGAGCACAAGTGTCTGGCAACTACAGCCAGCAGAGATGAGTGGTTATGGCATTTTCGACTAGGTCATCTCAACTTTAATGACATCAGAGAACTGAAGAGAAGAAATATGGTTTCAGGATTACCAGAAATCGACATTCCAAGTGAAGTCTGTGAGGAGTGCGTTCAATCGAAACAACACAAGAATAGCTTTAGCAAGGATGCAGGAAGGAAGTCGAAGGCAATACTTGAAGTCATATACTCTGATGTATGTGGTCCAATCCAGGTGGATTCGATTGGTGGCAATAGATACTTTGTCACGTTTATAGATGATTATAGTAGAAAGCTGTGGACTTACCTCATCAAGAATAAAAGTGATGTGATTGAGGTATTTTCCAGATTCAAGTCCATGGTCGAAAGACAGAGTGGCCGAAAGCTGAAAATTCTGAGGACTGATGGTGGTGGAGAGTATGTGTCGAAAGAGTTCGATACACTATGTGTAAAAGAAGGGATTGTGCATGAGGTGGTGCCACCTTACACTCCACAGCAAAATGGGATTGCAGAACGCAAGAATAGAACCATCATGAATATGGTGAGAAGTATGTTGAATGGAAAGTATCTACCTAAAGAATTATGGGGAGAAGCAGTTTCGACAGCAACATATATATTGAACAGATGTCCGACGAAGAAGCTTGAAGGAATCACACCAGAAGAATGTTGGTCTGGTGTCAAGCCTAGTCTCAGTCACTTGAAGGTGTTTGGATCTATAGCATATAGACATGTGCCAGATCAGTTGAGAAGGAAGCTTGATGATAAGTCGAATCAGATGATCTTGATAGGATATCATTCGACAGGAGGTTACAAGCTGTTCGACCCGATGAATAAGCAGGTAGTGA